ACTTACGGCCATTGAGCAGTGAGGGTTCTTTTTCGTGCCAGCACCTACTGCGACACGGGACCTCGGTTTATTCGGTCTCATCCGAAAGACCGGTCCCCACGTCCCACAGTGGGATTCGAACCCGCGACGTAAGGATCAACTCCTTACTCCGCAACTCTAGAGCAGACGCTCTAACCACTGCGCCACGCAGGCGACTTTATAAAAATGACTGTTTTAAGAATGTATATTTATAAATGTTCTAGCTTTACTTAGACTGTCATTTTCAAAGTTTTCTATTTGTATTCTGCAATTTTCCATTTGTACCAGGCATGAGCACGATTACTGAAAAATGTAATATAATCGATTAATAATCGATTACTTAGAGGAATTTTGTGTAATCGATTATTAATCCATTACATTCATTTTTGTCCTGTAATCGATTTTAATTGATTACTTTTGGAATGTAATCAATTAATAATCGATTACTTCCACGTTTTTACACCCTCAAATTAAATCATTTAAAAGTTATATGGTAATGTCAATGATATCCATTAAGTTTGAATGTGTTCCTGCAGATTCAGTACAGATTCCTGTAAGGTTTTATTCTGGTTTCATTTCATATTTTAGACCTAACAATTTCACTGAATGCCCAAATGAGGGATTCTCTATCATGGACAGTTGAGACATGGTTCCTGCTATAAAGAATGAGAGGAATAAATTATTACTTTCTACACTGGAGCTGAACCTCCATATTTATTGACTTTGGTTGTAGAAATCATTTAATATTTTATTGTGTTTTGGAGGATTTGGATTGTCCGCATGTTGGCAGTACACATAAATATTCCTATGTCTTCTCTTGAAAAAATAAGTTTAGAACTCTTATTAATAAACATTTAAATTAATTTGACTTTAAGTAAAACTAATAGCACAATTGCATTCTGTGTTGAATTATTTTAGTGTTTTGAGATCTATTAATTGCTCTTATTAATAAACATTTAAATTAAATGTGACTTTAAGTAGAACCAATAGCACAATTGCATTCTGTGTTGAAATATTTTAGTGTTCTGAGATCTATTAATTGTTTTAAAAATATTGTTTGTCTTCAATGGAAATATCAATTTATAAAAGTTACACAATAGGTAGGTCAAAGCACACACCTCATTAACCTGCATGTCAAGGATGTCCCAGGCAATTACCCAAGATAAACAAACACAGTGACACTTAACCCCTGTTTTTTTTAAAAATACAGACACTTATAACCTCTCACTGACAAAACAAGTAACCTTACAATTTTGAATGAAAACATGAGAATGATTCTAAAATTTTAAAGTTACTAAAAACACAACACAACAGAAATGAATATTAAGTACTTTCATCTGATGTCCATTATATTTATTTTTTGGATTGCAGCCATTGCAACGCCAGGTTGGATTATCACGTCACCAAAACCATTTAAAGCACGGTCACTTCACTTGGTAAGAAATAGTTATGTTAAAATAAAGTCTGTATAGAATTGATGGTACAGTATTTTTTTTCCCTTGTATTTGAGAGAAAATACATCATGTACATGTATTAAGAAAATAAGTCGTTAATAAAATAAACTTCAATACCAAAAACTGATTATCTAACTCATGTCTCTTCTGCATGATGTTGTCCCAAATGCAATTCATTTAAGAAATTATGTCACATGTTTTGTTATTTTTTTCGTTTGCAGAGAAGAACATACCGGTACACAAGATTGATTTGCTTTTAAAATTACACATCCCTAGTTGCATAAAATTGGCTTCAAGTAATTTTGATAATTGCTGTCTCATAAGAAAACATTTAAGTTTGATATATATATTTCACATATTTGTCATATGATACATGTATATCTGTAGGATTCTTACAGACCACTTTTGAAGACAGTAACTTCACAATGAGTTTATTTTAATTCTTGTTTTCTATAAACGTTGATTTAAATATAATATATGTGGAATAATAGTAGTTTGAATCCTATGTCTAAAAATGATAAACTTCTTCATATGATAGCCTGATAGTAGGACGTATCTTTGATGTTTATTGTCCTTTGAGACATCTTTATATGAAACTACTTTCGACATTCACCTTTTTCTTGAAATTTTATCGTTAATAAACACGAGAGCTGTACCACGGTTTTCAACTATTTTAATTTTTTTGCTCGTCTTTTATATATTAATTCAACCAATTGTTCACGTCTATGTGAGATGTCTTCTATATTGTGCTTGATACGTTTTGTTCAACATGGATAATTCTTTTATTTTTATTCCAATTGGTAAAGGATTTCTTTTTAGTTTTGTGAATGTTAAAGGTGTGTAAATCGCACAGACTTGTCACTTAGGCATATTTCATAAAGTACACTAGCGCGATTCATAAAAAGAAATATGCCTTATTGACAAGTCTGTGTGATTAACACACCAATAACATTAACAAAACTAAAAAAATCTGTATATTTACGTTTGGATATTTAAAACTTTACTCAAGATTTGAATTTTCGCTGCTCTGCATTATATTCATATTTCATTATCACAATTATTTTCATTTCTATCTCGTTATCCTCATTGAGACGTCACTTTAGCAGAGGTTTCTACGTGTGACTATTCACAAAAATGGCATTCAAATTAGTTCATTTATTTAGGAAAAACAAAGCAAATGCAAAAATATTGCATAACCGCATTTTTGAAAGTGATGTATAAGAGATTCACTGAAATAAAACATACTATATTTTGTACGTGAAAATGATTTTCAGCTTTAAGAGATGAGCTGGTACAGGAAAGATTTAAATAAAGTACCGTCAAATATTGTAAAAATGGGAAAACGTCGAATTTGAATGTGTATTTCAGGTGTTTAATTTGCTGGGAAATTTTGTGTATTCATCAGGAGGGTAGTGCCGCACTTCGAAATTTTCTTCATGTTTAATTTGTCGCCACTATCATTCGTAGAATTTGGAACAGAAATAAGAAGATACATACAAAAACCACATTTCACAAAAAGTGGATCTCATGATTTAGAATATAAAAACAATGTAGTTTGAAAGGAAACTGAATGATCCAACATTTCTCGCTGATCTGTGATCAGCACAGACATTGGTTTTCATTTTAGGCAATTAAATTCACAATGAATTATCTACAGATTTTTCTGTTTACCCGACCATGACAAGGGGCACATGGCGGGTGTGCTCTCTCTTCCATGGCACCCACCTCTCTTTTCAGAGGTTCCTCTTTGTCCTGCTCACAATTTGTGCTGTTTGATTGGACTTTGAACATGATAACTGTTCGTAATCTTCACATTTAATTTTAGTGGGAGACGTATACATGGTCATGTGTGCTTTTTGGACTTGGTGGAGTAGTAAAAATAAAATCAAATTTCGTGAAAGTTTTAGACCGGTCCCATTGTCCTCAATTGGGTCCAATATGTTAGATTTTTATTCTTACATTTTTCAAAGCTCGATGAACAGGAACAGAAAATTTCCAGTTTTGTGCTACACATCTAAGATCAAGGTCAGTATTATTGAAAACACCTGCCAATTATTTTTGAGCACAAAAAAAAAAAAAAAAAAACCAGTCCTGTGCCACCTACATGTTTTTCATGAATAAGACGTTCCATTTAATTTAGATATCACATATTTCAGTGATGGTGACGACAAATGTTTTACATTAATTTTGAAGCCATTTTCCTTTAAGTGGAATCACTTAAAAATCAGTTGATATGGGAGCAAGGGTGAAGATTCTAAGAAAATGAACTATGAAGAAGGACATTTCTTTAATCCTTCAGTAATAGTCCACTAAATGACTTTAATTGTGTATCCAATAATTGTCATAATAGTTCATAAATACGTTTCAGTGTTCTCCATCATTTAAAATTTTACTGTGGTGCAGACTTTATATATATTCGCTGTTCTTTTGCGACTGAATTCGCGAATAAATAAGTGGATAAATTTAAAAAAAAAAATACTCCTCTTAATGACTTAGTCTAGTTTGATATAAAAATGATTGAAAATATTTTGCAAATTAAAAACAATAATACTATTATTGATAAAATTAATTGTGATATCGAAAAAAACATGATATACTGTGAAAAAGGTATGTACTATTACCTCCCCCTCCCTAACCACAAAACATATACGTACTTACAAGGTTGTGGTATCTGAAAAATAATATATAAGTAACAAGTAAACCTATTTTTTAAAATCAATTTTGTGTACAAAATGTAACAGTTTTTGCAAGTGCATTAAAATACAATAATCAACATACGAAGTAAGCCCCCCCCCCCCCCCTCCAGACACAAATACATACACTTCAAAGAGCTAGGTTTATTTAATGCATAAAATGGCCCTGTCCATATACCAACTAATTGGCCAAGTCAGTATGTCCAATTTCAAACATCAATATAAAGAAAAAAAACTCGCTGCTTCCATTCCCTATCAAAGTTTCCTCTGAGAGTCCAGATAGTAAAAATTCAGGCTTTGTTAAATTGCAATGTTCTTGAATTTTGTAGAAATTAGGTGTATTTGAGTACCTATAGCAAAGAATTAAAATATGAGCCCACCCCTCGATCCAAAATAAAAAAAAATAAAAAAATAAAAAAATAAAAAATAAATAAATAAATTAAAAAAAAAAAAATAAAAATAAAACGTGTTTGATAAACTTCAGAAACAGTTCTTACATTATATAACTGCACATTTTAGATCAGAGGTCGGGCGCTATGTAAATATTACAAACTATAACTATAACTATCATTATTTATTCAACAATGGATTACTTCGTTTGTCTGGCCAAAACAAAGAGCTAAAGGCGTGTATGACGGGTCGACAAGGGATATGTACTCCTCCATGGCACCAGACCCCACTCCTGATGTTTTAAAGTGTCTGTCCTTGCTCTGCACTCAGTTTGTAGTTTTTTTTTTAATTGGATTGTTTAGCTTGATCATGATGCGTTACCTTTTTCTTTCATGTATATTTTATTTTCGTAAAACCAATATTCTGTTTCAAAATTCATCTCGATCATAAATAATAAATGAATACATGATCAACAACAACAGGTAGGTGAAATAATTTCCTCATATGCTTAGCTAAATAGACAAAACGAAAAAAATAATGCGTTAGAAAGGGAAAACATATCAAATTACGATTGGAAACACTCTAGTGATTAAAAAAATGTATTTTGTTATCAAGTGAACAATTCACCACGGTGCTTCCAAACATAAGCAAGAAAATAAAAAAAAAATCTACCTGTAGTTTTGTCTATAACAAACACCAAACTAATTTTTAAACTTCATTTGGTGAATCCCATTGACGTTTGTCCAGAATATTATTGTCAATCAAATTTGACATACGAATTCCTTCAAAGAGGATATCTACTGCATGTTCATAATCCTTTATATGTAAAACCGTTAGCATGTTTCGTAGAATTAGTCACTTTCTTGAATAATGGCAAAATGTGCAGATGTTGATGGTGGCACTTGTTGGACGTATTTTGAGTACAAGATTTTACAGAGAAACGTGACCAAGAAGCTAAAAACCAGACCTATTCCAGATAGGATGATGGAGTACGCAGTTTTAACTTCCATATTTACAGCTTCTGCAACAGGGACGTTGGCTATGATCATCCGAAGAAGCAGGACAATTTCAAACAAAGCTAAAATGAATTATTGAATTTAATTATTAATTTGGCATTATTATAGGATATGGAATAAAACACTTAGATGCAGCAATTTATGTTTACGGGTGAATAAAATTATGGAGAAAAGCAAAGCGTTTGTTGAGATTTACTTCATAGATATAATATTTACTAAAAGTAGAATTCAAAGACGACAGCGCTATTGTTCTCCATCATTTCAAATTTAACTGTGGCGCAAGACTTACGCGAAGTTCTAATATTCCGACTGAATTCGCGAAGGAACAACAAAATAATTTGAAAAAACACATAACCCAATGAATCAATGGTTTAATACACAAAGGACATTTATTATTTGGCAAATTGATTAAAAAATTTAACAATTAAAGCAATTAATCGATATCGATTAAACACAGTGTAAAACAAAAAAAAATTAGGATGTTTCAAATTTATATATGCATACTGTGAAAAAGACCCCCCCCCCCCCCACACACACACACACACACACGTACTTATAAATAAACAAATATTAGCTTATAGAATTTGAAAATAAAACAAAACAGTAACAAAAAATTTTAAGCATTAAACCTATCTAAAAAAATTTGTTTACAAAAGATAAACTATACTGTGTTCATAAAAGGACAGGTGAAATTCTAGTAAGTCCGAAATCACGCTAACATATATATTTGCATTTATCGGTCTGAAGACTGAAATATCTTAGAACTAGTTAATTTAAGAAATACTAAAGCAGTTTAGAGGCATAAAATAATAATTTGGTGAATCTATCGTTAATTTTTCAACATTACAAAAACACATGATTACGATACACGTACGGTATTTGATTCTAGTGTCACTGCAATTTTAGAGACGTGGTTATCTGTAGAACTTTTAAAGCATGAATGAATTAATATAAGAATTTTCATTTGCATTATCGTGAAGTGTGGAAAAAAATGGCTTGTCTCTTCATCTAGAAGATTTTTGCTTGTGCAAGCCAAACAATAGGCCCTAAGTAGTGTAAATTTAACGGTTTAGCATTAGAAACTGGGAAAACGGTACATAATTTTGAGGATCCTTTGGTTTATAAAGAGCTAGGTTCACTTTATGCATAAAATGGCCCTGTAGATATACCAATTTATTGATTACTCTTTAGGTTTCATTTTATATTTATTATTATTTTTATTTGGCTGTTTTTGTAAAATTTTTCGGGATATGAGGAAAATGACGCACTTCATGACGTCATAATGCATTGACTAGCCAGAAAATTACGTCATTTTTGATTGATACGCAGTCACCAAAGGTCTAAATGATATTTAATGCATTGTCAACTAAAACCAAGCAGTTTCAGTTTTTCTAAAATTCACAGGGCCAAAAAAGGCCCTAAGTGAACCTTGTTCTTTATATATTTACATAATTTTATGTATTTTACTGACGACGACCATCTAACTGTGGTGCTAATATTTTAACTGTGGCAGAATTTTGGCGCTGATTTTTTTTAATGTGGCGCTAAGGAATTTAACTTAGGCGAGGCCGCCACGTTAAACGGCCAATGGAGTACCATATATATATATATATATATATATATATATATATATATATATATATATATATATATATATATATATATATATATATATATATATATATATATATATATATATATTTACACAGTACCAACCAGACCCAACCTGACACAAAGCAGTCCCAGAGCAGTCCCGGGGACTGCTTTCTGGGACTGCTCTGGGACTGCTAAAGCAGTCCCAGAGAAGTCCCACAGCGGTCCCAGAGCAGTCCCAGAGCAGTCCCAGCGGTCCCAGAAAGCAGTCCCAGCAGTCCCAGTGGGCGGGGTTAATTAATTTAATGGGCGGAGCTTACTCAGAAATGAGATTACCAATAAACAATGTAACTATAAAAGGCAGTTGAAATTGATGATGCATTTCTTTTTGAGCAGTGTCAACAAATGTTTACAATTCTCATGCGACAGTTATTTCTGAACTGTTAAAAAATAACACTAGGCGTATAGAAACAAATAATATTGAACAAAGAAGACGTTCACACCTACTAATAACCTGAATATTTAAAATCAGTTATGTGGTATATTAATTTTTCACCCAAATAAATCAATTTCTTAATTTACTGTGATTGATATTGGTTTCCATATTTATTTATTTTTTTTTTTATAGAAAATTAAACTTGAGTTATCTATTTTCTATCAGAACTAGCTTTAAATAAATCTTATAATTATAGAACAAGACCGATTCCCGTACTATACTCTGAATGCATTTTTCTTAAGTACTGGAGATTTTGAAAAATTCTTTGTTAAATTTTGCCGAGTATTATATTTCAGTTATGATTATTTTCACTGACTTACCAATTTTATTATGATCGTTAGATTCTCTATGTAACAGAAAACAATAACACTCTTATTATATAAACGTTCGAGTGTACATCTGTAAATCACGCGAATGGAACCCTCAGATTATGTTCAAAATAAATTAATCCCGAAATAAATTTATACACATTTATTGAAACAAAGATTTTTTGAAGTGCATAGATTAAAATTAGTGTCATTTTTGACCAGCGTGTTCAGTGATGTGTAACACTGATACCCAAAATAACATGCATTGACTTTCTGCTAATCATGCCCAAAGGCGATTGAAACCTCAGGTGTTGACACCATTTTATACATCTGTATTGCTTTTTATTATTTGGCCGGGAAAACACAAACAACACAAATAAGAAATAAGTCACAATTCCCAATATTTTCAAGTGTTTATTTTTTTTTTTAATAAATTTACTCTTTTAATAACTTGTTTAAAAATCAAAAACAAATTCATAAATAAATCCCCCAATAATTGTTCACATTGTTTAAATGACTAAAGAATGGTAGAATAATTTTACTTCATTGTCATTTAAAAAATTATTAGGTTTTATTTGAGGGCGGTAAAAAAAAAATAGCCTGCTCTTTTTTAGCATGGTTTTAGCCTTTTCAATTTAAAAAAAATCCAGTACAGTATGTCCCTCTGAATATCTTACTGTAATGACAAGTTTGTTTGTTTTCTAAATAGTGCTAATGCAAAAATTGAGTACATAATTTGACAGCATTAATTAATTAAATAAGCCTAATTTTTTTTTTAAAAACACCTGTATTGAAGTTTTAATTAGCATTAATTAATTAAATAGGGCTAGATATTTTTTTTCAGACACCTGTATTAAAGTTTAATTTAAGGAATAAAAGTCATCTCCTGACTTCCCTTTTTAACTACTTTCTTCCCTTTTTAACTACTTTCATTTTTTAAAATTAATTCTAGACTACAATTGTGTAAATTTACAGCCCCTAAAGACATTTAGTAATTACATGTAAATCTATCTCTACTTATTAAAAAATTTCTAAGAAATCCTTGGGTTTTTTTTTTTTTTAATTCTTTATCTTAAACACCTCTCTGCTGAAAGTAACCAAAAAACAACAGGGAGCCTGCAAATTCAGAATACACAAGGGGTGGAGCTATCATGTCACTCAGAACCTTTTTCATGCATGAGTGAACAAAGCAGTCCCAGAAAGCAGTCTCAGGGACTGCTGGGTCTGCTTTCTAGAGCAGTCCCACAGCGGTCCCAGAGCAGTCCCAGAGCAGTCCCAAAGCAGTCCCGGGGACTGCTTTCTGGGACTGCTTAGGTGTCAGGTTGGGTCTGGTTGGTACTGTATATATATATATATATATATATATATATATATATATATATATATATATATATATATATATATATATATATATATATATATATATATATATATATATATATATATATATATATATATATATATATATATATATATATATATTTATATATATATATATTTATATATATATAATATTTGCTGAAAAAAAATTATGTCGATTGCTCCCATACATACAAGATGTACATCTGAATGTAATATAAGCTTTCCCAGTTAAAAACATCCGTTAATTGTATTGATAGTGTTGGTTAGTTAATAATGATAGTTGGCGTGGAAAACTAAACACTGTGTGATACTGATGCAGACTCAATTAAATTGAAGAAATGTTTGGATTTTCCTTTCAGAACTAAATGTTTTGAAATTCTCAATTGATTTGGATTACTTGCAACCTAAAAATATATGAAACTTGGAATGATAGAAGAATATGAGCCAAATTTTATTTTTTAGTTGCAGAAGTATTCCGGATCCTTTTAGCGTTTTGGTATTTACCTTGAAAATATAATGTAAATTATCACGTCTTTGTATTTTGAGAAGACAATGGATGCTTAATAATACCGATTAAGAATATAATTAATTTTCTAAGATTGTAAAAAGACTTGATTTTTTTTTATAGAATCCACCGAACATTATGTTTAGAACAGTCAATTAATATAGGCGAGTTGTCTTAATTTCTATGACTATTTTTTTTATTGAAAAAAATATTGAAATTTTTTGATGTTTTTCCCCTATAAAAGCACTTTACAAATCTACAATGATACATTAGTGTTCTGACAGTTTGGAGATGCACCTGTGTATATAGTGACAATTTTACAATGAAGACCAGGTCAAAAGGAGGAATCTTTGGTTTGAGGATTTATTTTAGGGTTCTAAACTACTATCATTTTATTATAGAGGACAGGCATATAACTATTCAAAAGTGAATATTAAATTCCAAAATTAGATATTTTTACATTGCGTGAATTAAAAAAAAAGTATTTTTGAGTGTTATGTCTTATTAATATTTTTGTTGTATTTGTTGTATTTTTGTAGAAAAAAATGCTTGTCTAACTCGAATGAATGTTCAAAAGGCACATGTACCTGTCCCATCGTTCTTTTCCCAGCCTCAGTTAATAGATGGATAAAAGAAGTTTAAATCTATAGATGTACAAGAAAATGAAACCATGGTTATAAACTACATATCCCATTTACCTGCCACAAACATGGTGATTCCCCCGGCTCTTATCCTGCAGGCATTGCCAAAGTTGAATACAAGAAGAGTTAAACTACACAAGCAGAAAATTATCGCAAGGATACTCCACACTTGAATATCAATTAAGTAAGCTGAAAGAAACAAGAAAAAAATACTGTGAAATGACTTTTTTCGCGGGGGTTTAATTTTCGTTGTTTTCGAGGTATGAAGAGACCCACGAATTCATGTCCACCAGGAAACGAAAAATGTCATATACACAACTACTCAACATTTCTTCATCCACGAAATATAATCCTCACGAACCGATAGTTTTTTTCCTCAAACCTCGAAAATTTGACCCTACGAAATTATGTGATTTCACAGTAATTGCTCTCAGTCAATGCCATTATATGAGAAGATAACAAACATATAGCAACAATCAAATTTAATTATGTAATGTTCGATTATCTTAAACACAATCTAGTGTAGGGTGATTTCACATATTTTTCTCTGTTTAGCGTCACCCATTTGACAAACATTTACCTATCTATTCACAAAAATGCCAGACTTTACAGTCAGAGAAATGACGTCATTCAAAGAATTTGATTTCTTTAATGTGTTTTTCTCAAAGAGGGATTTTTTCCTTACATGTATGACGGTTGATCCAAAAGTAATTCACAACTGCTACAAAATCTTTAAAAATCAAAAGATATTAACAAAATTTAATATACTAACTATTACCCCTATATATCCATTTTGATTTTGCCTTAAAATTTCATTCGATTGTACAAAATACTTTTTAAAATATTAAGATAAACACAAGAATGTTACCGACGTTACGTTTCGGAACTTATTCTCAGTTCATCTGCATATCTTTTTAACCTCTCATGTGTTTCTTTTTATATATATATATATATATATATATATATATATATATATATATATATATATATATATATATATATATATATATATATATATATATATATATATATATATATATATATATATATATATAATTTTTACTGCTATTTTGCTATAAACCATCTTGTTTTGAGTTGCATTATTAAAGTTATTTGAGCTTTGTCCAAATGTAATTTCTAACTTCATTCCTTTTGCGTTAATCTTATGTTTCAGCAGATTCCAGATGATTGTCGAAGAGAAACGTCATAACGATATCGGTACATTCTTCCTATGCAGCGATAGACGAGATTCAGCATCGTATTTATCTTAATATTTATTATACCCCCAACTTGAAAAGCGGGGGTGTATAGTGATGTGGGGTTTCTGTCCGTCTGTCCGTCTTACGTCCATCCGTTACACTTTGGGGTACCCATCTCTTATTCGCAAATCCTCTTAAACCAATGAATGAAATTTAATGAGACTTTTTACAGAGTCATTGTTTCATAGTGTATCTCCTATTTTACTTTTCGATCTGGCACATGAAGTTGCAAACCAGTAATATAAGTAGTACTGGTTGCCCGTATGGTGCAGTGGTTAGAGCGTCTGCTCCTAAGAGTCGCGAAGTAAAGAGCTGATCCTTGCGTCGTGGGTTCGAATCCACTGCGGGATGAGACCGTATAAACCGAGGTCCCTTGTCGCAGGAGGTGTTGGCACAAAAAAGATCTCTCACTGCTTAATGGCCCCGAGTGCAGAGTATAGGTGAAAATTTAGAGATCTCCACCGGCAAGTAGTGGCGTCTCCATATCAGTGAAAAATTTTCGAGAGGGATGTTAAACAATAAACAAAGAAACGTAATTTGGTACTGCTAAACAAAAGACTGCTTAAGGTATCTTAGATGTGTAGATATGTCTTCAAGATGAGTCTTCGGTACGTTTTTAATTTGAATTAGAATTTACGCAAGAATTCAGAAAGTATAATGTTTACATTCAGACCAAAGTTATTCTTCTTGTATAAAGTACTTATACGCAATTGTGCAAATTTAAAATTTTAGCGGGCTTTTACCAAACCGCTAAAATAAGATAAAATTAACACCCTGCTAAGAAAGCCCGCTATACTGTATTTCGAGTTTCCAATAGCAAAATATGGGCACTGCCATGTTTTCTATAATATTGAGGGGACCCGTCTCTTATCCGCAGCTCCTCCTATACAACTGAATAAAATTTAATGATACTTTCACAGAATCTTAATTACACAGTGCCATTGTGACGTCCTATTTTACGTTTTTGATCGAACACTTATTTTGGGTCTCCCATAGCAAAACGTGGACTTTTCCATTATAATCATATCGGAGGCGGGGGTATCACTTTGTGAGCTCAATGCTCACATTATCTCAAGTTTATAAAGTATTGCATGTATCTGAATGAAGTATTTAGGCTAAAGTTCAAATAAATAAATGTACTAACATATAAAGTTTTGATTTAAAATTTTGATTATTAAAGATTTTATAGCAGTTGTGATATTACATCCCTCTTAGCAAAATCAAGATTTTAAATGCTTGATATATATACCTACATGTAATATGACATATTTTTGACAAATATACATGTAAAAAGAAATTGACAGAATTCAAAAGTTACATGTACGACCAAAAGAATCATTTTCAGGACTGATGATTTTGTTTATTTTTTTCTGATCTGGGGTGTCAAAAACCAAGGCGAACGCGGAAGCTAAACAGAGAAAAAAAAACTTGGAATGGTCTATATAACAACTAAACACTCTTGTGAAATTTATCTCAAATAATTTTAATGTGAGTTTCATATGAATTTTCACTTAAATATATTGGAGGTAAATTTGGCTGTAGAACCAAATGCACATTTATTTTTTAAAAAATGTCCTCAATGATTTTCAGAACTTACGAAAAGGTGATTTTGACTTTTCTGCACGCTTCATTAATAATGCTTCTCTATTAAGTTCCTGATAAGAAACTTGAACACAGGTGTCTTGGAGACATATAGAGCAGTACCATATGCTCATTTCGACATCTACGGTCACCTGGAATGAAAATAAGAACATCAAAATACTTAACACTTTACAACTCCAGAAGTGAAAGTTCACTCTTGATGTGGTGTTTGGAGCCAAATCTCCGGCTAAATGCTACTACTTATTCTATATGTAAACGAAAGAGAAATAAATTGTACCAGTTTTCCTACATGTTCTTCATAACAAAATGATATTTATTCTCTGACTTTAAACAAATTATAAATATTTTTAACTCTCTCCCCTCATTTTCTAGAAAAATATTTCTAAAAATGTAAATGAAACACCTAGCTTACCCTAACTATATAAATCAATAAATAGCAACATAATCTTGATGATAATATATTATTATTAGTAATATGTTAGGTATAATCAAAGAAAGCAATTTTGATTCTTTTGTTAATTGGTGGGCTTATTTCATAGTCTTACTGTGAAATCACTAATTTCCGTGAATGCCTAATTGGTATGAAGAGACCCATGAATATACGTCTTCCACGAAATGTTAAAAATATGGTATATATATTAATATATATATTAATAAATATATTAAGTTTGTCTACTGACCACAAAATTATATCCCATTGAACCCTGTAATTATTTTCTAAAAGCAAATCACATAAATTTGACCCCATAAAATTAAGTAATTTTACAGTATTTTTAACTGCATTAATTACTGACAGAAAAATAATCGTCTATTTTACATAATTTTGTTTCAATGGAGTAGATCGTATGCCCCCTATCATAATTGATAATATTCAATGTTGTACATGTATGTATAAGGTTTAATATCAACAAGAGCGTCAAATACTTATACTGTTTTCAAAGAATCCGAAGAGAATTTCATCAAATCCCTCATATATTTGGAATCCTGTGAAATGTAAAAAGACACACAATGTACTATGCACACTCTATAAAATGTAATTACTGTTAGAAACATGTATCTTATTTATCATTCATTTCATAACTAAACGTAATTTGTTTGTGAATAATTCTTTGGTTTCTTTTTTAAAAGATTTATAAAAAGAAATGCCTTACCAATTCTCGAGTTATATATAAACTTCCATACAGTTTGCAATATTGTAAGAACATGTTTTTAATATTTTCATTTTATACCTACACTAATAAAGCATTGTGTAATGCAGAATGCATACCAAGAGAAAATATTTCTACTTTTAACCTAATTCTAATTAAATTTTTTATGCAATTATTTTTTCACATACACGCCAAAACCGCAGAGAGAGAAGGTAACAACGTCCATCTCTCTGGAGAAGGCATCAGCCTAATATATAACGTATATACCCCTCTTCCTTTTCTTCCCTCTAACTTTTCCCTCTCTCCCATATTCAACTCTACTTTCTCCTCTTCCTGTTTTCTCTCGTCTCTTTCTCTCTTCTTTTCCCCCAGCAGATCTTCATAATGTCATACCCCTTGCCTTACCTTGTGTGTCATGAGTGGGTCAATATATTTCCATGATACAATAAACCATCCTGGTGTTATCATGGCCACAAACCATATGTTGAGTGTGATAAATGCCATAACTATAGCCAGGACTGCAATACGTTTTCGTGTCTTATCCATTTTATCGTGGTCGGAAATGTGTTTCATCTACGAAATATACTGAAACGCAAAAGAAACGCAACATCATATTTTAGGGGGAAATATTACATATAAGTTATAATCTTGTATCTAAAAAGTAAGGACATCTTCAACTTTGTAAATATCGGTAATTTAACGGTCGAATGATTTTCATACCATTACCGGAAGTTAAGTTTGAGTCTGCTGAAGAAAAATCAAAAATTGCATGTTTAACAAAACATTTGGCAATAATATGGGGTTTTAAGGGTTTGTATCTGTTCATATTAAGAAATGCAGCAATGTTCCGAAAAATAAATTCCCCTTTCTTTTCCGTAAGCGATGCCAAGGCTTCCTGAAAATGACTTAAGTACGCATTTCCATTGCTCTAGCTGGAAAAACTCAAAATAAAGGTGATGGAGAGTTGCAGATGCAAATATGACCCACATCAAGCCTCAACAGGCTCTCACGTATCATTAGCATGAAAGACAGTCCTTGGATCGGAAGTCCAAGGATTACTACACAGCATTTGGCTAGAGAAAATTCGACCTCATCATCTAAAAAAAACGCATTTAAAAATGACAAAGAATATTTCTTTCGCTTAGATCTCGAGATTGATGAACCTGTTGCATCGTAGAAATCAAGCTGCAACTGTTGTGCATGGCAGTCTTGCACGCTGTAATTAAATGGCCGGGGTGGGGGTGTTTTAACAGTCATGTGTGACATTCTAAAGTTAAAAGATAATCATTTAACATTTTTATCAAATCTCTGATGATTTCAAATCAAGTTTTACCTAAGTGTGTTCATTTTTGAAAATCATTAAATAAAAAATTTAAATATTTGTAGATTACTGCTTGTTGCGTTTCTTTTGCGTTTCAGTATAAAAATTATTTTGAAAAAAGGGCTATCTAGAAAGCATAAAATTAAGAATATATATATATATATATATATATATATATATATATATATATGAATAATAAAAATAAATTAAACAACATTTATTTAAATATATTAACGCTTAAATAATTATCAGCTCTTTACCTGGATAATAATAATTATTAATCATTTATTATTTAATTTTAAATATATTAAACTGAAAATTTCATATGCAGAGAATTTAGTTTAAAATATTTTGCAATAACGGTATTTTAATATGTTGATTCCGGTGACACTGGTAAACAATCTAGGTGAAAGGAGTACTAAATCCTATAAAAATATCTCAAAATTAAGGAAGTTCAAATAAAATGTGTTACCCCTATACTTCTTTACATGCATTTACTGTAAACAGATTAAGAAAGGATATGTCAGATTGAAAACAAGGCATTTTCAGTTACACTTTTTCATTTTTACTTATTATCATAATTGTACATTCAAACTTATACTTTCCTATATGAGTACATATAGTGCACTCATAGCTATGATCTTTTTACAAGTAATGAAGAAAGTTTAAAGTACCATTTACAGCATTTTTATTTATCACTTGTTGATCAGATAGGATAAAATTATTAAATGTTATACCTACCCAAAATGAGGTACACCTCAACCTTTCTGTATTATGATCAATACAGAACACAAATCATTTCAGGTGCTAGATGTACATTGCACGGAAATAGTCTATACCCGACAAATATTTACTTTCCTTAACGTCAGGCAAATAACGGGAAATCCCCGACTTTTTGTGGAGCAGTGTCTCAACGATTCAGACGGACCGATCTGAATCACTCAACCGCAAAAAAAGAGATCGTCAGGTAAATTTATGGTTTGTTTGGTTAGGAAATAGAATTTCACGTAATTCTTTAAGAAAAAAGAAAATCTAGCGAACTGATCTACGAATGATAACTACGAAGAAATGCTTTTTAATTAAATTTTTATTCAAATAGAAAATAATACATTTAACATCTTAAGTTAAAAAAGTAAAATAAAACGTTTAACATTTCAAGTTAGGGGACAATTATATTTAAGCTGTTCAAGACAAGGGAGATAATTTTCTGGTTACTTAATTTTCGTGCAACTTAACAATTTTTCTAAATTTCCAATCTTTAAGGTCTGGAGACGCGTTCTTCATTAATATATATTTTTTCCAAGAATTTGTCACTGAAGTATAGGTACTTTAACAAGTTTCCTCACAAACAATTGAGGTACCTCACCAGGCATTATATTTGTGCAAGATACCAGAGGGTGGTGTTTCCTTTTGGTAATCTTTTGAATTGCCAGTATTACAATTTTTGGTGTACTTATTATATAATACATTTTGAAAACAATTCAGAAATTGCAAGAGAATGACATTTATGAATATTTTTTTATGTATTATAAAGATATATAAAACCGATATTTGAGGAACCTGTCGTTAGACCTTAAAAAATCGACAAAACGAACAAAAGAAAATTGCAATAAATGAAACTGACAATTTTTTTTTATAGCAACTATTCTAAAGTGTCTCACTTTTCATGGTTGATAGAAATTGAATGCAAACATGAAAATTTGTGTTAATTAATTCTATTTTTTTCTGACTTTGTTTAGCACTGTCTTTTAAATGAGAGGGCTAATGTCTGTAAAAATCTTTATGAAAAGTACAAATTCAAGAACTACTCAAAAAATAATAAAGCTTGGTATATTAATTTTAGTTTACTGTTAAAGGTATATAATACCCCGGTATATACCCCCTACATAATAATTATTAAATAGGGGGTATATATATATTTATAAAAAGTAACCTCAGATGCCTTTGTTGTGGCTTAAGACGGCAAACTTTTGATAAAAGTTACACTTGTATCACTTAATAGTCATCCAGTGTCTTGGTGTTCATACCAAGTCCATCCAACTTCCGGCTGCTCCAATTTTGTGGAACAAACCTGAAATCGTCATGCGGTGACTCCTTAATGCCGTGACTATCCATAGAAAACACTTTTATGCTTGTTAATCTATTTGCAACAAGATTTTGCTAAAAGAAAAAAAAATGTTTCAATTTTTTAAAAACAATTTTTTTGAAAGGATAGCCCTGCAGACACCATACTGATTGCTTTAGAATGCTTTGCTAGGGTCAGACGCTTACGGAAGCGTAAAAGGTCTCTTCAATTGTTGTGTTATAACTTGCATATTCTCTTATATTTTATTGTCTTATCAATGTTGATATCATTACTCCTTACTTATACACATATTTTGAATTGAATCTAGATGTTTTAATATAATTTAAGGCACCTTATTTTAATTGATTGGTTTTATTGCTATAAGTATTATCGACTTAAAAAATATTGATTTCAATATATTGATCAAAGAAAGATATTTATTGATATCAATATGGTAATATCGATATGTAAAAATAAATATATACTTTTATCGATATAGATATATGAATATTTCCGAGAAAGAAGTGAGATAATATTGTTATTGAATTAATTTCGCGGGGCGGGAATTCTAATGAATCTTCATCACTTCACTCGGCATCCAGTGAAAGCTACTGTACTCTATATTTGCTATTGTATACGATTATCTGCTGATGCAGATTAAAAAATTGTTTTGAAAAAGGGGTGGAGAGAAATCAGCAGTTAGATCATGGGCATAGGGGGCTACTGTCCACATCACCACTTTTGAAGGGGAGAGGCAAGCATATCTTTGTGTCCCTCCTCTAGCATTTGTTAAATCTGAGTATAGTATAGATCCGCTTATATATACGGAAAATAAAGAATACTCGCAGTTCGATTATTAAATCTGTTTTATTTTTCTTGTCATATATATTATTTCATTTGGCTGACCCCCACCCTTTCTCCCTTCTATTATGCAGATTGGCCGCAATAAAGAACAAATTATTTTACATTATTTTAAGTAATAAGAAGTTAGATCTAATATTTTATCTGATATATATTCTATCTTGATTCACTGCATATATCTTTTGAGGTGGGGGGGGGGGGGGCTGTGGGGGTTGACGTCTTTGTGGCAGATTCAAGTTTACCACAGAGAGATAAAACATCCAATATTTACAGAATATAGTGCCAGTGTCATTTTTATAATATTGTTAATTCTACCTTAATTCGCGTCATCCACGAATAAGACTAGTACGAACTAGACTAGTACGAGATTTTAAAGAGATTCTAAGTCGTACGTACGAGATAGTAAGTCGTAATTACGAGATTATATGTCGTTATAACGACATATACTAAGTCGTTATAACAAGATAATGTCTTTATAAAGAGAAACTCAGTCGTACGTACGAGATTCAGAGTCGTTATAACGAGATGATAGGTTATAACGACATATGCCTAGCCGATATAACGAGATAATAAGTCGTAGTAACGAGATAATAAGTCGTAGTAACGAGATACAGAGTCGTAAGTACAAGATAACAAGTCGTAATTACGACATATACTAATCGAACGTATGACATAATAAGTTATGAAAACGAGATTGAACACACATAAGTCCTTGTTGCTATAGATATGTCAGTTTTCAGTACATGCATAGGGAATCTGTTTTAGATCAAATATATTAAATCAACAATCATAGCATTGGTAAACTGTACTAGATTTTTTTTCCTTAGTAAAAAATAAATCTTTCGTACTTTGTTGCAAGCTAGATTTCTTGTTGCCATAGTAACAAATGATGCAAAGTTTGATATCCTTTCCCATTTCCAATATATACGATCATTTACGTATTTGGACAAAATTTTCCAAGCTAAACATGTTTTCTCCGTTGAATCCGCTTTACTGGATTATTAACACGTACATTTTTAGTAAGATATTTAAGTTGTTGTTTGCTGTAAGTTGGTTGCCATTGGCTTATTTCAAACAGTAATATTACTTATTACATTGTTTACTTTGCTTAATCGCAATTTTATGACGACATTTGAATAATCTTTAACAACTATTAAAGCAAATCAGTGAAAAATAAGTCTTTAAAAAGTCGCTATTGTGAATTTGCTGTTGCCATTAAGATAAGCAATCATAAGATTCATTTACTTTCATAGACATATTCTATATAGTTTGAAATTGCTTTTGGTTCCAAAAAATCACAATTAATACAATTTTTCCTTCAAATTTTTACATTGTCTTTTAATAAGAAATTGAGGACTGGTCCAGGAAATTATCTGAGGGGGGGGGGGGATACCCGACCAAAATTGTACAAAAATATAAGGATTCTTTAACCAGAAAAAGATAATAAATAAATTTATTTAAATATTTATATGAAAGATTCCAAAAAATCTATTTCGTTAGTGTCTGTGTGCTGTGTGTGAAAGGGCTACCTTGTTATGTTATTACGACTAATCATCTAGGACGTACGAGACTTAATGAATGTCGTTTGTATGATTTAGTTTTTTTGTACTTACGACTTAGTAGCTCGGTATAACGACTTATTATCTCGTTATTTCGACTTAGTATATGTTGTTCTAACGACTCACTATCTGGTAATTACGACTTATTATCTCGAACGTTCGACTTAATTTTTCCAACATTTTATCTCGTAATTACGACTTATTATATCCTACGTACGACTTTCTCGTTCGTACGACTTAGCATCTCGTACGTACGACATAGCAAAAAATATTTTCAACTAGCAGCAATGCGCTTTCTTAGATAAGGAAAAGATTTAATGAAAAAAAAATAATTAGGGATTGTACTCATTTTTTTTTCTTTTTAACAAAATTAATTTCAAAACTTTATGATAAATGTGATGACTTCAACTTTACTATCGTCAAATTCCCTTATCTATGTAGAAATACTATACTTTCATGTAAATTACTTGAATTTTATTCGTCGAAAAAAGATCTGTTAAAAAACACTTTTATTCTCTGAATGATGAAATCATATACTCCAGTGCGATAGAACATAGCCACAGACAACACTGTTTGATATATATAAAATATTAACAGCGCGGAATCCATATGCGCGCTCTTCACCTTTCTTTGTATTAGTATAAGCATTCAGTATAGTATAATAAATACTGCATCTAGTTGAGGGTAACATTGAAAATTTCCACCCCCAAGAAAACCATTGCCATTCTTTGGCTGCGCCTCGGTTGACAATAGTTTCTTTGGGTGAAAATTTTCCGTGTTACCCTCAACTACATGCAGTATTAATATAATATGTCATTATCACCTGCATATGGAGTTTATGTCCCCCAGTTGATTCGATACGCAAGAGCATGTTCTAACTACGAACAATTTCTACAACGGGGAAGCTATTCATAAATACGTTTATGCTACAAGGATATCAACAGTTTCATTTAAAGTCAACACTTTGCGAATTCTATGGTCGATACAATGACCCTGTTATGAAATACAGTCGATGGTTAAGTCGAATGTTAACCTACATTTTTTATCCAAATTGTTACGCCATTATTTTCACGCTGAATTGTTTACGGATTTTTGCGTTGCATGCACGATCATGACAAGGAGCACACAGCGGGGTGACCGGTTAACAGGGGATGGTTACTCCTTCTCCGTGGCACCTTATGCCACCTCTGATGTTTTAGAGGTCCTTGTTTGTTCTGACGTATGTGCTTCGTTGCTGTTCGTTACATCATATTTCACCTATTGAGTTTTCAGCACTCATGATCAATAAAAATCGTGCAATAGATACGTCATAGTGGCTATTGGTTGA